GCATATTTTTGGTGTTATGTAGTGCATCTCATTTCAGCAAATAGAGCTCAGCCACAGCAACCTACTTACCCAACTATTATTTAAGGTTTGGGAGAATGAGCATGGGGCGTAAAGTACGACATTAAAAAACTCCGGGCCTGTTAATTTTCTGTTTTTTTTTTTCAGTCATCATCTCTCCTTGTCTAAGTCAGAAACTGTTCAGTTTTAATGAACCTGAACATCATTGATGCTCTAGTGGCCACGAAAAAGAAAAAGTTGCCGCTCTTATTCTAACCTGAAGATTCATAATCGTCATAAATGTGAAGGGAAAAATAATACTTTAGTGAAGATGAGAAGGGACAGCTTACGTAGCCTGCGTAGAACGAGGAAGTTGTGTTTTCTTTGTTACAGTGTAATTAAGGGATACAGCCGTGCGAGAACTGAACCGATCGAGGTATTTTTCCTACGTCCCCTCCCCGTTCTTTTTCTCAAATGATATGTTTTGGGTTCAGGCTACGTCATCGTCGCTAGTGTGATTTTGGAGCTTATGGGGCTAAAACCACGCTTGTCTTGTGGCCCTTTTTTCCCACAAATGGCTCTTATTTCACAGTGTCGGAATTGGGTAGACTTATAAATCAGACATGGATTGAGAAGAAAATGGGGGCTCTTTCTTGAGATGTTAACATACTAATTCTGGCAACAATGAAGAACCAAACGTAAAAGGAAAAGATATTGCCGCATATCTAACTGGATCGGGAATACGTAGGTTGACAAAATTGACGATTTTTTTGAATGTCCAACAAGCTGCTAAATAACACCACCCTGGGAGCTCGAGGAAATGATAACCACTCGAGGGCTAGGATGTTTATCACGTGCTATTATTTATTTATTTATTTTATTTATTTATTTATTTATTTTTGGCTGTTTGTAAAAGGAGTTATTTCCCCGTCTTGGGTGTTGAGGTACAGATTAAAGTGGCACGGAGTCTGGTAAAAAATTAAAAATTGTTTTTAATTTCGTCAATTTCCGACCGCTTTTTTTCTTAAATATTCAGCCACTATTTCAATTATTATAAACAGGCACTCATGTAATCTGTAAAGAGAGAATGAGCTTGTATCTGCATAATCTAATCGATGTACTTGGATTAGGCCATCTCCGAGCTCCCCAGGGCCTCTGTTTCAAAAAGAGATTGAGTGCACAGCCTTTGATATGGAAATTATTTTCATTCTCATGCAAAATCTGATTTTCACAAGAAAGAATTGTGCAGTTGGCCTCATTTTGAAAGTGAGCGTTTTTGGAACTCGGAAGTGGCCTAATTGTGTCCCTTGTACTTTGGTTACTTTACTTTATTTTACATGTTAGTTGAAATCCAAAAGTATATTGGAAACAGGCAATACGCATCTAGTCCGAGAGCCTAAGGGCCGTTTTGCTCAACCCACTGGACAGTTAAAGCACCCTCTTTTTGGCTTGGTAGTTCGTGGTTTTAAATTGTGGTATGGGTTTTGAGTTATAGCTATGTTATTAAAAGTCGAGAACAGAGAAAATGAATTTAACATAAAAATGAGGCTGAAGGTGTTTTTTTGTTCAACAGGTGATACAATCTTCAAAGTGAATTTTATGAATTATATCGAGTGTTTTTTCTTTCTAGCGAAAATTTTAACGATATCACTGAAATATCATCTGACAGTTTATTTACCTCGTAAACATCACCTCTGAGCATTACATATGACTCATTCTTTGTAAGAAAGAAACAGAAAAACTCCTCCTACTTAAGAAATGGTAAATGTGCAGTGTGCAACCTTGCAGATGAAACATATTATCAACCTTAATCGTCACGTGATCGATTTAGTTCACGATGGACGCCGTCGCCAAGGGACAGTCCTGTATCAAACTTCTTCACCAAGGCTAAAGTTTCGCGTTGTTCTGAAGGTTTAAAATTCACCGTTGAAAGAACGAGAAGTTCAAAAGAATGCTCACTTTTCTTTTTGTGTCAAAGGAAAGCTTTGCGGTGCGAAATTATCCTTCGAAGAATTCAACCTTGTTTTCTTCCCGGCGGGGCTTGGCTTGTTTTGAAATGCAACTACAGGGCAGCGAAGTTTTTGAAGCCGATTTTCAGGGACATCTCGTACTTTGTGGTCGTGAAATTACATTTTAAAAAGCGAATTTATGTATTTGTAAATGATTCATAGACGTTTTATTCATTTTGACATCGGCCTTAAAGAATTATTACAAAATACTTCCCGAATTGAGATGGATTTTGTGTCAATTTTGCCATGTGCTCAACCCACAATTTTTCTTACGTGAACGGATCCACGATCCAGTTAGTGTTACGCGAATTGCTTTCATGCATTAACTCAAAACTAAAAATTTCAGTCTATCGTTTTGTATTTTTTCATTCATAACATTAGTTCCAGGGGCGGATCTAGGATTTTTTTTAGGAGGGGGTGTACTCTCTCTTGCTCTACTTCAACTTTCTTATTCAGGCTTTGTTTTCACTGTGATGTTACTTGATGTTTATTGAATGATTCACTGGTCAAATAACTGCTGGGTCGTTCGCAAGAGAGTTTTTAGTTGTTCGAGTGTCGCCTTTGAAAACTGTTTTTGCGGATCATATTCAGTAGGCGTTTTCTTCTGATTTTTTTACGTCTTTTTTCATTCAAAAAAGAGAAAGTAATTATCTGTTTTCGTATCTGCATTTTCTGGTTTGTTTTCAATGTATTGGCGTCATTCTCGGCATACCGTATTTATTCGTTTAACCGCAGGGCGATGGCGTTTATTCGAGGTGTACATTATGTAATAATACCAAACAAAATTTCTTATGGGAGCCTGTGAAAAGGAATGTCAAATTTCAGAAGACTTGAGCAAACACAGATAAAATTCTGAAAACTTCATGTGTAAGATGTAATTTTCTGAAATGTGACATTCATTTTCTCGGGCTAATATAAGAAATTTTCTATCGTGTTATTACAGATATACACGGTGTCCCAAAAGTTCGTTCCTCTAATTTCATGCGTTATAACTGTTGATCAGAACTTTATTTTCACATGAAATTTCTAAAATATGTTTATTGCTCCATCGATTACTTGTATTCAGAAGTTCAGTAACTGGCATGCAACCCCCCCCCCCCTTTCTTTTTTTATCACATTGCGTTAAGACGTTGCGGCAAGGAGTGCGACAAGCCTAATCTCGTCCCCAGATCTCAGATCTGGGTACGAGATTAGGATAAGCCATTTATCGCCAGTAGAAGCCCAGATGATCCATTCTGAGCTTTTTTTATCACCTCAGTAGTACGCAGGAGATTAGATTAGGTAGCTGAAAAAATAAAAAGTTATTTTGGGCATTCACCGAAAAATAGGCTTTTCCACAGTAAGCTTTTTGTTCATAAATTTTAGACGAGCTGAAGGATTAAAGGTTAACTAATTTAAACAAAACGTTGCTTTGCGCCCTGAGCAGAGCTTCTTTGCCGTCTCAGAGGCCCCCAATTTTCAGACTTAGCTTGCTAACTGTTGTAAGAGTTACCTCGTTGAGTTCCTCTTTATTTTTACCCAGCCTGCTTTAAACCATATATTGTAACTGCTTTATTTAGGATTTTCGCCTTCCCCTTTGTTTCTTGTCTTCAAAACCTTCCTTTTCTCGATGATTATTTTACCATCCAACGTTCGGATTTTTCCTCTTTTTTAATAATTTCGTTCACTGATAAGCCAGTAGATCGGGGTATACGTGGTTGTGCTTTAACGTAGCTGAGCGTTTTTGTGTTATCTTTCACGATATTCATAAAAAAAAAAAAAACAAGGAAGGAGTTCGAGCAATTCAGATTCGGGCTACTAAATACAAAAAAAATACATGTGGTGGGAAAATATACTCTCACACGCGCACTACACAAATCGAATATTCGAGTCGAAAGAAGTATGAAATATTAATGAGATTGAAAATACAAGACTTGTGTTCAAACTATTTGCTTATCAAGTCCAATCGTACTGCTTTCTCGTGGATGTCTTTACTCTTGGCTCCTCCTCCTTCTCCTTTTCCTCGCAGAGAACACTCAACTTTAACCTTCCCTCTGTAGGCTCGGGGTAATTTCCTAGATTCAATATTTTTGACCAGCGAGTCACCAGTTAGACAGGCTTTCACCGGTTTGTCTGCACTTACAGGTACCTCTTTTGATGAATCGAGGCCTGTAACTGTAACTGTTGATCACCAATAGGGGTGATCTGAACCTGTTTGAAAGATTGTTTGTGATTGGCTGGGAAAACAAAAGGGATTGTGACATAAAACAATAGAAGGGCAGATCAAAGGGGGCCAATAAAATGATAAGTTTAGAACGGGGCAGGTGAACTGAATCGATGAAGCGATTTAGAGCAGGCTAAGAGAAAAACAGGCCGGTTTCCTTGGAGGAAGAGGCTGGGCCGATCACATATTTACTGTGTGTGACATAAGCCTTTTCTACGACCACTTTTAATCCAAAATCATTCTTCACAATATGCTCTCATAAGCATTATTTGCTGTTTTCTAGTAATGTTCAAATCTCGCTCTAATTTTGCTTTTAAATCTCGAATCCCGAGCTTCAAATGAGGGAAATCACGTATCCCGAAAAAAATATCATATATATCCCGCACTTCCCGGTACATCTTTTCCTAACTAGTAAGACATCTGTCCATCGCGGTTTATTTAGCAACTACATGGCGTTCTTGGACTCAGTGTATATTTCTGATTACCGTGAAAAATGACGCAGAAACCTCTATTGCTAATTGAGTGTGTTATTTTACCTAGTTTGTTTTCCTGGTAAGTTCTATTACTATAATTGTATTTCTTACTTGATCTTCAAAACAACTTAAAACAAAATTTAATATCCTCTTTTTAAGTTTAAAGAAAATTGTTCTTGCTTGTTAACTCGAGTAGTACGTTGAGCTATGTTAAAGTGCTATATAGTTTTTTTTTTCTTCGTCTGCTTAAGTTATAATAGAAATTCAAGTATTGAAGTCCTTTTTTTCCTTTTTTTGATAGCATTATGTATTACTTTACTTGCACCTTGTTTTTAGTTAGTGCCACAATAACCGAGATTACAAGTAGGTGTACCACTAAGATAGTACACATAATATGAACCACAATTTCTCACTTTGATGTTTGTTGACCATTCACAGCAGCCTGAAGTCACATAGTGAAAACACACCGTCCTGTTGACCTGACCGTCTGCTACTGTAGGGTGTCCACCATTCAACCACCCAGTTGCAGCAGTGTTACACCTATCGGTAGGTGGACATGAAGTTCTTGCGGAGCGAGTGTATAATTTTGTCGCGCGCGCAGCGCGCGGATTACCTGAGGATCGCAAGCGAGCTGCGATTTCGCTTTGGTCATAAATCTTTCTATCGGTTTGGTATCCGCAGTTGCCTAGCAACAAGCCATAAACAAATAATAAAGACGCCAAATGCACGTCATCGTGCATTTTGGGTTTCCAGGCAACACGGCCAGCGTCTTTTTATCCATCCTCTGTTTACTGTACGCTGGCGAATCGCAAAGTATTTCTGAGGCAAATAACAGCGAGCTGCAAACACAACAGTGCCCAATTGGACAAGTGGAAGTCCTTGCCGTGGAAGGTTTAACACCGAAAGAACGTTGACCTGAACTTCAGCGAGAGCAGCGAAGAAGAAGACCACTCCGTTAATCAAGCGGCCTATTTAAAGCCCGAGAGTGAATAAACACGGAAATAATGCGAAATGGTTTTGAAATACTCGTTTGACCTATTTTTCCTCAAATGTATCTTGAATTCATGATAAATACAGCTCCATAAGGTTCAAACAGTGTGAATGGCAGAGAAAAATACTTCATCGCTATCAATTTTGATGAGTTATCGGCGCAGGTCGCATGGCCCAGTCGTCAGAGGCCGCACTTTTTCGCTGGAGGAAGTTGGGGTTTAACTGGGTTCCAACCCCGGCGTGTCTACTTCCATTTTTTTTTCTTTCATCGTTTTTTTACCTTTTGGCTTTTTACTGTTAATTCTCACTGATGACCCCGTTAGCTTCGCGACATTTTTGCGAAAACGTATTTCTAGTTTTATGCACTAAAATTGGCTTATTTCATCACATTGACGCTAGTTTCTTTATCGTCTGTCCTCTTATTGATCATAACATCGCATCATGACATTGTCAAAGTGTTGTGGATCCACGAGCACGAGCCCCAGGTGAGTGAATGTATTAGAAAAATTTGCAATGTTGCCGCAGACCTGGCGTCAATTTGCTTTTTACTTTAACAAAAGTTTGGAAAAAGGATCAGTAAAAAAACATTGTGCCTTTCAAAAAGAAACTACTAACAGTAGAACCCGGTTAATACGGACACATTAGGGGACATGCCATGGCGTCCGTATCATGCGGATGGCTGTATTAACTGGGCTCTCCGTAAAAAGGCCCCGGAAACATCTTGTATTGATATAAAGACTATGGCAGACAAAGAGGAAGAAGGGTAGGAACAATGACTGCGCCGAAAAGCCAAGGAAGTGAAACTTGAGTAGTAATTATTAAATGGCTATATAGTACACGGAAAGAAAGACTGACTTAAAATCAAACATATCAAGCTATTCTGCTACTTAATCCCAGAAATCTGTCATTGTTTGGACAGTGTAAAATATCTACAAATAGCACGTGATTGTGACAAGGAAAATAGACGGTACGCAGATAGCCAGTGCCTGTAAATAGCAGGGTTGACAGAGTTTGTGCCTCAGGACACAGAAAAGTGTCCATTGTGTCCGTATTATCCGGTGTCCGTATTAAAAGGGTAAATTTTAGAAACTGTCCGTTATATACGGGTGTCCGTATTAAGCGGATGTTCCGTCTTGCATAAATAAAAATTTTATGTCTGTCCAGCTTCTTATTGATAGAAATTATAGCCAATCAGCGAGCGAGGAATAACTCAGTTCGTTTATGAAAATGTGGCTATCTAAGAAAACTCACAAATCCCGCGCTTTGTAGTGTCGGTAATATAATACTTTTACTTTATACCTTTGTAACTGTAAAACAGAAAAAAAAAAATTCTTACTGAGTGGTCTTGTGCTATAAGGTTGCCTTAGAACATTGGCAGCAGGGTCGAGGTTCAAAATCCCTTGAGTGAGGATGGCTACGAACTCAAAAGGAAGTATGAACTATTCCTGTTTGATTATTTGTTTTCATTGCCTGCAATTTCAAGCAATTTCATTTTCTTCTTCTGCACGGATCCGTGTGAGTAAAGGGATCTCATAGAGCAAATAACGGAAAGCAGCGAACTAGACTTCCTGGAGATCTATCCTTTATAAAAACAAGCTCGCACAAGGGACACATACGCTTGAAGCTTGTTATCATAATGATCAGGCTGAAAAGCGGAAAATAACAAACGCCTATAAAGTTTTTTTCTTTCTGAGCTTGCGTGCTAGCGGCATGATGCTCTCTCTTCAAATGGTGCGGTTTTAATCTCGCAGTCTGCTGCGATTTTCACTGACGTTACAGTTTAGCCCCTCCAGAGTTTATTAAACTCAGTCGGAGGCGTAGAGTCCATATTCTCCATATTTGGCATACCCGATCTCCCTATCAGTCACGGTCTCTTTCCATATAAGGAGCATATTAAGCAACCACGACTGCGACGGCACGGAGCGAAAACGCCACAAAAAATTGTATTCACACTGTTTCAAATTAATTTTTATCACTCTTATTCCATTTCGTTCAAGTTGATTGTCAAATGTTGGTGAATGGTTTTTGGTGTTTAATTCTAAGGTAATGTATCTCAATGTAGGAAAAGAGAAAACAATCGTTTTCTAGTCTGAAAGCGTTCCGTGTTTACGTAATGTTTAACACACGAACAGCAGTGTTTTATCACTGGCTTAACATTCGAGCGTAGTAAGTGCAAGATTTTTTAACCAGTGATAAAACGCGTGCCTTGCGTTTTTTAACAAGCCTTAATAAATTCGAGTTTATTTAACACAGGTTAAGGGACTTGCCCAGCCCCTTATCTGTAACAGGTTTAAGAAAATGGTCGATGCGCATTCTCGTAATATCGGAAACAGAAACAAGTTAGACATGGCTTCCTTTAAAACTCACTACCGGTCAGCGACCATGAGCAGTCCGCCGAGGGTAAATACGTGGTGTAAGCATCATATAGTGGTTTGACGTTAGGTTCTAGAAGCAATGTATATATACATTTTTCCCAATACAATGTAAATTTCACATATTGTAAAGTAGATTATTATGCTTTTAATTATCAAATTGCAATTTGAAAGTTGGCTGAAAAGCCATTTTATGGGGTAGGCTGATAAACTATCACTGATACTAAATATTTCACTTTAATATGTTTGCTGAACAACGGTTTTCTCTTTTTAACTAAAAAAAAAAAATAAAACGGGAACACCAAAGCAGCCAAAATAACAACGGTTGCACGGTCAGATATAATTATACAAATACATTGTACAACCTCAAGTACACAGTTTAAAGGCCTGTTCACGTGTAGTTGGATAACCCGCCTGTCCATATGCTCTCTCATAATAAACTTGATCAAGTTTACATGATAGGTGGGGGTAACCATATGAGAGATTGTATGAACAGGCGGGTTACCCTACCTAAGCGGGTCACCTCACTAACATCAGGACCCCCACCCCATGTAAACAGGCCCTAAGCGTCTGAGCGAAGCCAAATACACTGTAAGGGAAAGGAAAGCGGATGTAGCAAACTGAATTTCTTTAAAGGTTTCCGTGAATGAAAAAAAAAAATCCAAAACACACTATACTAAAAGAAAAAGATACTAACAAAGATAAAAAAGATAATAACTAGGGGAACATTCTCACTGTATTCTCTCCAGGGGATCTATTTCCGCACTTTTCGTTAGACAACAGTTGGGTCTCAACAGTTAAAGTTGACCGCATTCGCAGTTAATGGCAAAATTAGAGAAATCAATTCTCCGGATTGTAAGGAATAGTGCATTTATCATGAATAATGTAATGGTTCGCTCGACGTGATCAATGTGGATGATTTTTCGACTCCCCGCCTTAACATGGCGGAAACAATGAAAGTTTTCCTCTTCTATTGAGAACCCTTTTAAGTCACAAATATTTCATATATTGAACAATTATTGAATGAGGTTGAGGAGGATGTGAAGAATTATGCAGATCTAAGAGGAGCATGCCATCGATTGGGTACTGCCTACATCCGCCTCCAAAGATGGTAACCGTGTGCCGGTTGTGAGGATTTAGCGGCGGGACAGACAATCAGAAACGGTGAAATATTGAATAAATAATATTGAGAAGAAACAAAATTTCAAGCTTGTGGCCCGTTCCAAACTCAATGCCATGCTTCTATTTAAACCTTTTTGGCGAGAAGGGTCTAACGACAACATGACTTTTGCTGTTTGGACCTTTCAAGTATGTAGCACCCCAGTACTATTCGCCTTGTGCAACGGATTTACAACGCGCCATTTTCATATATTTCTTATAGTGAAGCTTCTTTATCTCTTGTAAAATATAGACCAAGAACCCTTTGATCGATGATGCTCAAAGTTTTTTTAAAAATTGGCCACTGATCATGAGTCCATCCGATCATTTCATGGCAGCTAATGTGGTCTTTGTCGTAACGTTTCAGTTCCTCTTATATTTTCTTGCTCACGTTGTGGAGTACTTAACTCTATATGTTATCTTGGGTGTTTCTTTGTGTTGCGGAAACCGATACTTTTGTTTTGTGTTGTGGGTATTGATCAGTTTTCCTCTCTGCAACACCAAGAAACTACACAATGATTATGTAGCGCATTACTGCGGTGATGTGTATAAGAATTATTACGTTAATCCCCAAACCGCTATCTCGAAATACTGCTCAACGTAAGAGGTTGCAGCGGAAAATAAAACCCAGAAATGTGAGAAACTCAAACATTAATTTAAAGGCTCTGAGTTAGTCTCGTAGGTACGAAACGAGTATAAACACAATCTAACCGGACGTAGGGTTCAACGCGGGTTCAAACCCCGGCCGGACCAATACTCGGGGTCTTTAAATAACTGAGATGAAAGTGCTGCCTTTGCAATGACATCTGCAAATGTTTAGACTTTCTAGTCTTCTCGGATAATGCACCTATCAATGTAAACCCCGTGGGGGGGGGAGTCCCCAGGGTGGGAAACGAAATGTCAATCAAAAGTGTCAAAAAAGCCCCCACCCCAGGGGAAAAAGTCTAAACAAACAATGCTATAATACTGTATAAAACGAATTAAAAGAACATTTCAAAAGTACGTCCTTACTAAACGTAAGCTCCGTTAAATTACTCGCTGTAATTAAGTATTTCCTCTCTCCACCAGCATCTCCTATTTTGAACAACAAAATCACTCTAGGAAGATTGACCGTGCTATTATAATATTAATGAAACGTAAAATGCTTTATAACATCTGCTCAACATGTCGGAACAGGTCGGATCAGTGACTCGTAAAAAATCTTCTGACTTTCATGGTGGAATTCGATTTCAATCGAGTTTTACAATCAGATGGGAACTTGAAGATAAAACTTTCTCAAAATAGACATTATCTGTTTAGATGACAGTTTAAAGTATCGGATTACGGCGATTAAAACAAATGAAAACTTCACACCTTTCTCCAACAGCGTGACTTTCAGAAAGCCTCGAGGGACGGATTTGGTAACCGCTTCTGAATTGATACCAGGCTTCTGTCGGTCAAAGTCAAATGTCCCGACCCCGGGGTCGCTTCGCACGATCAAAAGCCCGACAAGGGGTTTGGTCTCAGGCATCAAATCCCCGCCCCTTGCCCGCACTCCCCCCCCCCCCCACGGGATTTACATTGATAGGTGCATAAGGACGAAAAACCGTAGGTCCTGTCTCACAGCACTTTCAATTATTTCTTTTTGTGGGAACATCACTATTCGGAGAGAGTAGGGGTTGTATACCCCGGTGGTGTGGTCCACCTTTACGGGTTGTGGGGTTGGGTAGGGATGGCATGCACCTCGCATGGGACCTGAGTCCCGTTCGTTCACATTCCCGCTGGGCAAGCCTGTGTCCAGAAAAACTGGTAAATAGACGTATGGATGATCATTTTCGTTCCAGAGCTTCGATCCTTTTGCTCAGTGTGGATCGCCGACGCTGACCCGCAAACGGATAGAAGCTCTGGGAAGGAGAATTATGGACGATCCGATCCCTACATACTAGAAGTCACTAGTAAGTAAACTGTTGCAATACAAGTATTCACTTAATATCTTAAAATCGAACTTTTCCATTCTCTTGTTCTTCAATCGGCCTTGGCTTGTGCAAAGCCGGTCATGATCGATACACGAATTCGTGCGTCGTAATGAGGCAAGCAAAAGGGGAAACGACCAGAAAAAAAAAAAAAAGATTTTGTAAAGAATGAATTGCTGAAACCATAGCTCGTGCTGATGACAATACTCATGTCATTCCCGCAATACATATACTTTTTAGGCAGTTTGAGTGGCTAATAAAAAAGAGAATTGAATTTGATTAATTGACCAGATCTCGCTTTCGGCTTCGTCGACAAGAGATCTGGGTAATATTTGCATTTAACTGAAACCCTCTTTAAACAATCAAGGTTAAAGTAACATGCTTCTAACGAGTGTAAATAAGGGTCTAGTGAATTGAGACGTTCCTAATTATTGGTGATAATAATTACCGTATGGAATATTAATGCCAGTTTTGCCATCTCCGAATAGAGGTCTAGTAAATGGACATCTTCCTAATATTCGGCGAGTTGATTACCTGATGGTAGATTACAAGTTCTGCCATCTCCGCTGGAAGGACTGTTACATGAACAACTAAAGGATCCCACTGTGTTTGTACATGAAGCAAGTGAACTATGGCAGTTGTGAGTACCGCGGGTGCACTCGTCAATGTCTACATAAAGGGAACAATACAAGTAAGCGTAATAATAACCTTTGTAACCGTTTTGTTTGTAAAGGGGAAACAAGTTAAACAGAATTAATTTTATTAAGCTTGATAAAAGGAAATTGATCGCAGGTTTGAATAATCTATATTGCTGCACTTATTGGACAAAAAAAAATTATCGCACTTACGCACATTTTACGACTTTGCGCATCTTGCCGACCTGGCCCCAGTTGTTCAAAAGATGGATAACCCTATCCAGTCGATAAATCTCTATCCAGTGGATAGCGCAATTGCTTACCTCATACTAACCTACTGAATAGTGATTTATGTCTTGGATACCGCTATCCAGCGTTTGTACAACCGGCGCCTGTACTTTATTGCTTACATAATCTGACTGCTTGACATCGCTTCGTCTGTTCGCTTACTCCAAGCGGTCATTTTTACTGTAATTTTTTTCCCATCCAACCCAAACTTTATTGGAAGGGCAAGAAGAGTACAAATAAAGAATGTTATATTGCCGTTGTTGCCGGTTTATTCAAAAAACAAACATATCAAAACAAACATTTTAAATTAGACTTAAACGGCTCACCACTGCAGGTGTTTCCATCTCCTGTGAATCCTGCTTTGCATGCGCATGCGTAAGATCCCACAGTATTACTACACACCGCATTAACGTCACAGCTGTGAGAGCTGGTAGAGCATTCGTCGATATCTACATACAAAAATGTTACAATTACAAAAATTTAAAAGCTAGTAGTTTGCATACATACATAATTTTTATTATGCTTACACTCGAATTTTTTAGTAGCTTGTAAGGTAATATATTCAAGAAACCAATACATAAATATTCATTAAATACGTTACAAGTCTTCACATAAAAGAAACTATCTTTACAACTTTAGATATATTTTTAGAAATTCATCTGGTGAAGTTTAGTTTTTAGTTTGGTGTATTTTTATGAACACCCATCGTTGCCTGTTTAACTGGGTTACACACAGTAGTGTCATCAGATTTTGTGAGTTTTTGCGTGGGGTAATTGCTTCATATACTGCTAAAGACAAATTTAGCATAAACACTTTGTTTTGAAATTACACTATTCAACTTACCAGAGCATGTTCTTCCATTACCCGAGTATCCTGGTTTGCAAGCGCATGTGTAAGAACCCAGAGTATTGCCGCACACCGCATTGACGTCACAGCTGTGAGAGTTGGTAGAACACTCGTCGATGTCTAAAACAAAAAAAAAGATAAATAAAGTTACTCCACTACAAGTAAAATCACACTGGTCTACGTTGAAAGAGTTTGATTGTATAATTCAAACTCAAAACTGCGTTGGGGGTCATGTATCACTAAGTTGATACCCATTATAAAGTGGGTGTCTATGGCCTTCTACGCTCTATTCGATTCAGACCGGGGAGGAACTTTTGAAAATGAATGTCTTCCAAACCGTTCAAGCTATAACCACTAAACTTGGTGGCTTTTCCTAAAAATTATTTTAGAAAGTCGTCGTGACGAATACGTCTACATTGACGTAACCACGGCAACCAAGTTTTGGTGGCCAAATTCTTCCACAAAATATATTTTAACCTTGGTGTAAAAGTATAAAAAAACCTGAAGAAGGCTGGTATGGCCAGCCGAAATATTGTTATAAAAAACAATACACGTTGTCTAAAATCAGCTTTGCAGTAGTCTTTGGACTTCTCGTTCTTGGTTATAAAAAGGGGAATTTAGCAATTGCCTATAAGACATTTTTCCCCTGGCTACGATGTTTACTCCTTCATTTTGTCCTTAACGGGCAAAGTCTGTTTTGGAGGACTTCTAGTGCGGATTAAGCAAATGTTTTCTTCCCCCTTTTCTTTCCAATTGGCTGTTTCACAACAAATTACAAGGGGTGGATCTCGGATCCTCTGTGCTTGAAGGATCCAGAAGGAAAGAATTTTTCCTTGTTTTGTGTAGCCTTTTGTTTGAGGATAGTTTTAAAGATCTGCAGTTTTACTAACCAAAAAGTAGTATAGACGCGGTACAGAGTCGAGGCTCTCGTTACTGGCTCCACAAGAAGAAAACTTAGCATTCTTTTAAACTTTCTCTTTCCATTTTTTGTCTTTTAAAGGGGTATTTTTAAAATTGAAATGAAGCTGTTCTTAAAACTACCGCATGGTGATCGCGCGGCAGCAACTTTGTTGAAAATGGATTTCCTTCACTAAGGTTTCCAAATATGGAGCAGCGAGCGAGCCACACGGTTTTGTTCACTAGTGAAAATAATGATATAGCCAATCATTGCGTCGATACGTCTTTTTTCACTAGTGAAAAAAATGGTATGACCAATCAGCTGGCTTCTCTAGCGCGAAGAGACTATTTTTAACTCGATGATTTTGGCGCCTAAATCTCGGTATGGTATGTACATGATAAACAACTTTATCTGTTTTTAGAAATTAATCTCGTGTAGCTTAGTTTTTGGTTTGATGTGTTTTTAGATATGAATACCCATCGTTGCCTGTTTAACTGGGTTACACACAATAGAGTCATCAGATTTTATGGGTTTTTACGTGGGGTAATTGCTTGAGATACTGCTAAAGACAAATTTAGCATAAACACTTTGTTTGTAAATAGCACTATTCAACTTACCAGAGCATGTCCTTCCATTACCCGAGTATCCTGGTTTGCAAGCGCATGTGTAGGAGCCCACAGTATTGCCGCACACCGCATTGACGTCACAGATATGAGAGTTGGTAGAACACTCGTCGATGTCTAAAACAAAAAAAAAAAGATGAATGAAGTTACTCCACTACAAGTAAAATCGCACTGGCCTACGTTTAAAGAGTTTGATTGTATAATTCAAACGCAAAACTGTGTTGGACGTCATGTATCACTAAGTTGATACTCGTGATAAAGTGGGTGGCTATGGCCTTCTATGAGCTATTCAGACCGGGGGGAACTTCTGAAGATGAATGTCTTCCAAACCGTTCAAGTTATAACCACTAAACTTAGTGGCGTTTCCTAAAAATCATTTTAGAAAGTCGTCGTGACGAATGCGTCCACATTGACGTAACCATGGCAACCAAGTTTTGGTGGCCAAGTTCTTCCAAAGTTGCGTTTTTAAAAAGAAGGTTTTAATTATTTTTTACCACTGGATATATTACACTTGATTAAGCATTATTTTTCCAAAGTTATTGTTACTGTCGACGAAATCCCTGTTCTTTAGTGACTAGTAAAGTTTTTCCTTTTCCACCATGTTTACTCCTTCATTTTGTCCTTAACTGGCAAGTCTGTTTTGGACTCCTAGTGCTGATTAAGCAAATGTTATCTTCCCCCTTTTCTTTCCATTTGGCTGCTTCACAGTCAATTACAAGGGGTGGATCTCTGATCTTTTTGGTGCTTGAAGCACCCGGAAGGTATGCATTTTTCTCTTTTTGTGAAGCCTTTTGTTTGAGGATAGTTTAAAAAAATTGCTGTTTTACTGACCAAAAAAAATGTGTTGACGCGGCACAAGAGTCGAGGCTCTCGTTACTGGTTCCACAAAAAAGAAAATTGAGCTTAGAGCCCACGGTTTTCACGAAAGTCCACCACTGTGTTTGTTGATGATACTTGTAAGTAGCCTACAAAATTCATTTTACCGATGAACATCTTTCCACCATATTACAACAGAAATCGAACTTTACGAGATTCCTTTATGGCATAAAGTGCTAACTTGATATGATATGTCCTAATGTTAGAAAGAAAGTGTGTACGAACAAGTTCTGAAATTTTTCCGATTTGATTCCGGCGACATGGCCATCTACTTAGTCCTGTCGCTTGCTACATGTATCTCTAGAATGAAGCCTAAATCTTAAACATACCTGCCGTAAAATTAAAATGTAATAGTTTACTGAAATGCATTGAAATGAAGCCAATGCGATTAGCTGTTACGTATACATTGCGTGAGTACCGCGAGCGCACTACTTTTCATTATTGTAATCGATTGCCTGCTTAGCAAATAGCTAGGTATAACAGGATTAAATTAACAGCAATCGAACTTATTATCATAAACTCAAGAATGTAAGTGATAGACGTACGTGAACTTATAGTAATACATTGTATCTAAGTTCAATGCATATAGAAAAACAACCAATGCAAGAAACACAACAAAGCAAAAGCTAGACTGCTTGCAGTCCACCGCCTTTTCTCTTAAAAGCCCTCTAGTTTTTGCAAAGAGTCTGCTCGCAGTCTAAACAAAACTCACTCGCCAGGGCACGTCCTTCCATCACCTGTATAGCCCCATGTCAGGGAATCCTGATTCTGGAATCCCGGAAATTTGTGCTGTTGTAATCCGGAATACAGCCACTAACTAAGTCCCACTAACGATCGAAATCCAGAATCTAACTTCCACTCTGACAAAGACTGGAATCCAGTAGCTGGAATCCGGAATCAACGACATGAAATCTAGAATCAAAGACTGTCTGGGATTCCCTTACATGGGCGACCTATATATCCTGCCTTACAGACGCATGCGTACGACCCCACAGTATTGCTGCACACCGCATTGATGTTGCAGCTGTGAGAGTTGGTAGAATACTCATCGATATCTGCATGAGAACACATAATTACAGTTGTGTGAGGTATAGCTGACTACACTGTAACTGGTCGATAGTTAAAGTGCGGTGTTCTCTTCAAGCTTTGTATATAATTTATTAGGCATCATAGCCTAGTATGTAACTCGAATTTAACACCTTGATGGAATCACAGTTCTAAATGTACAGATATCGGATGAAACGTTTTGGTGATCATCTCCTGAATCTTTTTTTATCAGAATGAATGACAGCCAGTCAAAGTTCTCCCTACGGACACCTCTAAAATGAGGACAAATTTCAGTTTAATTAATACGGACAGTTCTCTTGGTCCTAGGGGATGCCAGATCTTATACATTCCCTACCTCTTTAATTGGCACGACTGACACTGTAGTGTCCGTATCATATAGAGATTCGTCTGTGATGATAGGTTTTGAAGCATAATTCTACGAATACGTAAAACTGATTATGATTCAAAACCTATCATTACAGTGGAATCTCTATGATACGGACACTATACGTACATATACCCAGGAGGCTTTTTGAAGGATTGTATAACGTTTTAATTATAAACATCTCCATTGGATGATTTTCATGCCGCAAAACATGACACGGTGAAATTAATATTTCATAGGAAAAACAAGATTATCGGTAGAGAACAAGGTACACAATGCGACCACACATGCCTGGTTTGCTCGTATTTCAAGATAAGAGTTCACTTGTATATTATTCGCCGGAAGAACGTCAAAAGGTTTAGGTATGCATCAGTCAACATGCCTTTACAACCCTCTTCAATTTTTTCCTGTCCTTGGCAGATGAGCCAACCCGCTTTCTCTCCCAGTAAAATCCACTGTGTAGTTATATTCTGATAGAAAACCGCGTGCGTGTCAAAAGCTGGGGAATGGCCCCGGGGTTGGCAAATGCCCAGCCCCCGGGCAACACAAAATTTGCAAATGCCCCACCCCCGGGACTGACAAAGCTGTCAAATGCCCCACAGTAGCCCTGGAAGGGGGGGCTGGGTGCAGCTGGAATTGACTGATGCATTACTCTATGCAGTTTTAATTGTAATAATTACTCCACCGAATCATTGTCCTTATTTTTGTAAGGATTGATATTCTGGAAATGCATTCATATAAATCTACATAACCAAAGATGCACTATTCTCTAAAGGTATTTTCTCTATGTACGTTTCTGAGCTGCTGCAAGCTGCAATATACATAATCGTCACAGCTGAGAGAGCTGGAGGAGCCTAAACACTGAAAGCTCATTCGTAAGATTTACTGTAGATGCAATCGTTCCACATCTTAACCTGCAACTAAATCTTATACAGTTTGTTTCTTTATTACGTCATACAACTTACCAGTGCATGTCCTTCCATCGCCTGAGTATCCTGCTTTACAGGAACATGCGTACGAACCTAAAGTATTGCTACACATTGCATTGACGTCACAGCTGTGAGTGTTGGCAGAACATTCATCGATATCTGCATATGAACATGTAGTTAAAGTTGTTGTAAGATTTTTAAAAGTGGTAGTTTGATGTATTCTTGGATATGATAACAACTTGTTGCATGTTTAAGTGGCTAACACAATCGCAACATCACAGTTTATGAGTTCTTACTTGACGCAATTACATTATATCCAGGGTGTATTGCGAAAGGACCATCTTTTATCAAGTTCTGGATCCGGCACTTATATTGTTGTCCAAAGTCTAAATCCTAGGTAGATTCTCTCGTCCAGCGTAAAATACGTTGTGTGCCTTAAAAAAACTCTCTTGGTACAAAGGTTGACTGGTTGCTTTATAAGATGTGGCTATCTTACCTTATTTAACTGTCATTTGGTTTAACGCACGACTTTTACCTAGGTAAAACCGATTTACCTAGAGCAGATTCATCAAACATCTGCCAAGGTAAATTCATCTCGGGTTTTGTTATACCTAGGTAAAAATTCTGGGAAGGTCACACTACTGATATCGGCTCCCAAAGTTTCAGCGCCAGTTGAATTTTCTGGAGCGTAAATTCAAGAAGGCAAAATGCGGAGGGATCTAGCTGATCAAAGAGAGGTTTTTTTCTCTTATCTCGCTGCCATTTCTTACGCTAATTCAACATGCAAGGTGAAGAAAGGCGAAGACGTAGACGATTCGTGCTCCCAAAATTTCTTTCACAGCGTGATCTATGTCCGGTTCTGTCATCAAGACCTTCGCCGATGAGCGTCTATTGGCTAGCAACCTCGGTATTTCATTTTTCCCTAGCTATTGCTTTGGGGTAGCTGTCAAGGGAAACTCTATTGTTTTCGAGACATATCCAAGGCCCAGACGATAAAATTTTCCCGAGGTAAGTTACCTGGGGAAAAATCGGTCACACTTAAAAAATGAAGTTTCCCTAGGTAAACTTTCAACAAGTCGTGTTTACCTAGGTAAAAAGTCTGTAGTGTGACCCAGCTATTGATGCATCAACTGAAAATGGACTTTTAGTCCCAAACCGGAACCACCTACCGGCTGAAGAAAAAACTGTCAATCGTTCAAGACATTTTAGTCAAAAATCTAGTCTTGTATTCACACACAAGTAAAGATATCATTCATTGAGTCAACAATTTTTTGCGACCTTTACATCGTTATTCTTACCTAGATCGAGTGTAGTCTTTGTTTGGATGCTATAAAATGTTAAAAGTTTCGCTTCACAGATGTAATCCCCAAAATCAGACATCCTGAGTGAGGAGATCTTTAGCGTTCCATTTTCCACTTTCATTCGTCGTTTCTCCCAGGCTCCTCCGGTACGTCTCCACGAAACTGAGGCTTGACTCGTAGAAGTGCAGTCTAGAGACAAATCTTCGCCGAGAACTTTTGTAACCACGCTAGGTGGTTTTACGGTGAACTTTGGTCTAGACCAAACGACCAGAGTCGTTATCTTAGACGCTTGTCCCAGACGGTTTCTGGCTGTGCATTCATAAGGCCCCGAATCGCTGGTCAGGGCAGCTTGCACAGTTAAGTATCCTGTGTGGAATATAGCTCTGTTCCTTGGGAGGTAGCCGGTTAACTTTCTCCAGGTCACAGCAGGTGCGGGAAATCCAGTCACATGGCATTTAGGGAGCCTGATGTTTTGTCCTGCTTTAGCATGTGTGGGACCTGGGGCTAGCTGAATGCGAGGAGGAGCTAAATAAATAAAAGTATTTATAATTCAATCAAGATAAATAGCGTCAGCTAAATTGTAATTACCAGATTGGATTCTTTATTCTTAAGCGTAATTCATGAAACAAGGAGTGCAATGTCATAATTAAGACCGATAAAACAGACATTACACTACCAGACTCTCAATGGTTTACCTTCAACCTGCAGACTAGCGGAGATGTTTGCCGAACCAAGTGCACTCCTTGCAGCACAGATGTATCTTGCAGAGTCTGCAAGAGTCACCTTACGCACCACCAGTTTTCCATTTGGCTCAAATTGGAGGCTATCCGACAAGCCAGACCCATGGGCCTGTGACCACGTGATCGTTGGTCGTGGATTTCCGGTCGCGGAACACTGGAACACCGCATTCTGGTTCTCCCTGACAGTTAGTTTCATAGGTGATATCGTAACCACCGGGGATGAAATTGATTCTCCCGGTTCTCCCTTCGCACCAGGAAATCCCCTAGGTCCCGGTTCTCCTTTAACACCTTGCTCTCCTTTCAGCCCGTGTGGACCAACAGGTCCTTGTATTCCGTGTGTCCCTGGATCCCCTGTTTCTCCCCTTACACCTTTTCTTCCTGTGACTCCACGAGGACCCCTTCGACCACGTGATCCTTTAGGACCCTGCCTTCCGGGCGGACCATGCAAACATATTTTTTCATTCTTTGAACAAAAAACTTGTGGTGTTAGTGAAAGTAAGGTCTTGTTTATCTCCCTTTTGACTGCTTCGATAGTGACCCTTTGATCTGCTAGACTGTCAGAAGCCAAACGACGGGTTCTCAACCTTTGAATGTTATCTGCCGATAAAATACACTTAACTGTTAATGGTAGTGAACAAATACTGGATTGAATTAACTTAGTCACTTTTACTGAGTTTTAAAGGAAGCTGTTTCCGTCAGTTTCGACCTGAAGCGAGCCGATCGCTGAAACGTTTCCATACCGCTCATGGATCCAATACATCTTTTCCGTATACCACCCGGACACGACGCCTCATCCGAGTATCGATCGCAGTTTGACCGAATAACGCCGAGTATCAAACGAGATCAACAATACATGCGTACACAATACTCAGGTCGCCATTGTTGAATTCAATTATTAGAAAAATGTTGAAATGGAATTGAAATTATATTCTTTGGCATTTTATCCCAACCGCAACGTTGGCGCGAATTGAAGGGAAGACAAGTCATGTCCATACACAAAATGGTACCCTCAATTAATCTCCTTTGCCAATTCCAATTAGCTTTATGAACTGACCTCCATTCACCATGTTTTATAATGACATACATTCTAAAAGGACGTTAGAATTCGCCCTTGAGGGGGCATTACGTTTTTTTTTTTTTTTTTTTTTTTTTTTTTTTTTTTTTTTTGGGGGGGGGGATGATGTTGATTTGGGAAGGAAATAAATTAGGGTAGAAAAGGTCTACAGTAAACCAGTTCTGAGTCCGCTAATGGGATCAGAGGCACCTTGTTATGGTGGTGGACTATCTGGTAATTGTCTACTAATTATTCACTTCATGTTTAAAACAACCCCCAAATCCAATATTTTCCATTTTTCAAAAATTTTAAACACCTCTCCCCCTAATTTTTATCCGCGCAATTAAAAACATTCGAAAAATCATCCATAAATTCTCAAAAAAGTATTGGATTAAGGACTCCAACTTGATTTAATCATGTTTTGATTGAATGAAATCTTCGCTAGAAATTTTCAACGAAACCTAATGCTTTTAACCAGACTGACCCCTTCAAGAGAACTCAATGCTTAACGTTCCAGTTTGTTTCGGCTCTTGTTATTTTAATCCCTGGCCTCCTACATTTCCTACGGCTAAAGCACGTTTTATTAAAATTTCCCGATGATTTTTCTACGAAAAGGCGAGAGTAGCAGGCTTTTGACTTTATTCCAATGTGAATGGTTAATAAGTAAGGGGACGTGACCGCTAGTATCATGGCGATCAGGTTCCAACTCTTTCGGTTTGTTTTTCGGTGTGTAATTACCACTAAGGTTTTTCTACGTGGAAAAATGAAACTAACTGAAATAGGCATCTCCTATGGGTTAGGCTTTCTAAGTTATCTTGATCATAATTATTTTAAGATAAACCGAGAAGTAGAATTGGTGTAATTAACAAATTTGATTATCTAGAGGTAACAAATTCCATTGTAGAATATAAAGTCTCTTTGTTTTAAATTCAGGAAGCAAATGGGATAAATGTTGGTTACAGAGCTAAATTTGTAGCGTAGTAAATGTGTTCACTTTACCGTCTGTGTATTCCTTCCATTGTTGTCTTGTATTCCAGTTATATCCAAAACTACCAGCAGACTTGATTAAGTATAAACCACCTTTGGTAGCTTCTTGATTCGATGCTTGATGTACATGTACTTCCGCTATCAAATCTTCAATAGCATGAACTCGCTGGTTTATGATCTCTACTCGGACTAAAGCAGTAAGGCAAATAAGCAGCGAAACAAAAGAAACAGGAAAAACAAATTTTGACGAAAGTTTGCGAGATTCACAGGAATGTGAGAGTTCCTTTTTGTCCTCCATCATAAAAGAGCTTGTTTGGTACACTGAGACTACGTCTGACTACGTATCCTTTACCTCCCCTGCAGTCTTTGGTGGCCAATGTAATGCGATTCTAGTGATGATACGGAAATCCTATATTTATGACACAGAGGTCGTACGGCTTTGGATTTCCTTGCGAAAGGTTTGTTTTTAGTTGCCAGGTTCTGACAGATGATTTCCGAGTCACAGACAACGCTGATGTTATGTGGTTCAAGGGGATATGTTATGGGTTTCGTGGGAATATTCCTCAAACGGAGAGCGGGGAACGAGCACGTAAAAGGAAAAACTAAAAGTTACGTTACCGGTAATCCTGATAGAGCTAAAGTTCCAGTCGGGTTTTGCTCCCATTTTTTCATTTCCCCAAGGTTCCCGTTGCTCGTTTCCAGCTTCCCGCTCCCCGTTTCCGATTTAATAACATTTGTTCCATGGTGGAAACTCTTCCAAATAGTTGGTAAACTACCAGAACCCATATTTAGATAATTAAAAGTTTGTTTTGGATTAAAATTTCCAGGGCTTTCCACGACTGTATCTGCATTCCGGCTGAGTACTGTGCAATTCAGTTACACAATCGCTTTAGTCCATTCACCAGAATTTATCTTCATAAACAAAATTCAGAAGATTATTTTACTTTTTTAAAATAAATGAGAAAGACAAAGTATTATTAATCATAGAAAAGCTGGAAGATTCTCAGCAGCAGCGTATAAAAAAGCGACAATTTTTTAAAAAACGCATTTTAGTATCATTTTTCGACAAAATTTTCTTACAATCACAAATACACTATACAAGTATTTCTTTAACGCTATCTTTACCAAATGCTTATTCAACATTGAGGTAAACAGGTGATTTAAAGTTTCGTTAGGCCACTATTCGCCATGATTCAAAGAATTATAATTATTTTTAGTAAATACACTGCACGAACTGATATCGACAGAAACAGTTAAAAAATCCCCCCCCCCCCAAAAAAAAAACGATTGCAACTTAGAGCCTCGAGGTGCTTTACCATATATGTTTACCATTAGTGCGGCGAAGAATATCTTTCGTTATTCGAAGGACTTCGTTAGAGGCTCGTTAAAACCGAGGTTCCACAGTAGTGTGATTAACTGATCAATTCATGCGTGAACATATACGGTAGATGCGCAAAAGTTGTCCCATTCTTTTTTTCAAAATGGCGTGCTTGGGTGGAAGGGTTTCCAGTGATAACGTGTAACAATCTTGAGAAGTCAAAGCAACTGGCAAAAGGTATTTTAGTTACATTAATTACTACAGCATCAAACAACTGGACGGAATTTTAAATACGGTATTTTCCCCTTATTGTTGTCAAGAAGTAAGTAGCCTGCGAGCAAGATCTCCATGCGATTATGATGGTGGGCGAAACGAACCTCGAGAGAACGCGAGAGGGAGCGGCAAAGCCGCGAGGGGCGTACAACTCTCGCATAAATTATCGCGACTTCCCCAAATGGAGCTTGCGCAGGTTAGTGTAGCCTGCAAAACAGTCGTTTCTCTTCGTTCATCGCCGCTGTGGACGTCTGGCGAGGAGGAACGTCTGCGACTCGGCGACAGAAGTTCCACTCTAATGACGTAAATCAATGTTTACATAATAAACCGTTCTCGAGTTGTTTTTCGCCACGAACTATCAGGAATGGAAAGAAAAGGTATCCTCGGGCACCCAGGAAAGAAAGTCCTCCTCCTATGTGCTCAACCTTGTACAGTCAACTCCTGCTATTGACCCTCGGGACAACGAGTAAGTACGTATACGTACGTAGGTACGTATGAGTGGAGGTTTATTAAAGGAGCTGTTCATATGATACAGGAATGACTTGCATTCCGGATTGATTTTCGTTCCAGAATGAAGCTGTGGTGCATTCATATGATAAAACCAAACCGCTCAACCAAAGGCGTTCTCGCTCGAGTGGTTTTCGCGCCTGCAATTTTCAATCCCGCGGAAAGAAGTTTGTTTTTAGTTAATATGAAACCAGAATAAAATTTCGTACCAGAAAGAAAATTTCATTCGGAATGAAAACCGGAATGACTAGTAAGGGGAGAAAATTTCATCTCGGTATCCCCATTGTTTGAACAGATGCAAAGAAATTGATGGGGATGGATGAACTCGTTCCGGAATGAAAGCGGCTATATCATGTAAAAAGCCCCTAAGTCAAGCGTACAATTTAGCTCTTCCAAGTATGAGAGTATTTGTAATAGCGAGTGTCCAAAAGGACTGAGTTGACTCTACATATAATCTTTATGCATTCCTTTTCCGATTTCACTGAAATTTATATCTCCTTTGCATTGAAACAGTAGGCATTACATTATATGAGCTTTTATATGGCTTTTCGTAAGTTAGAATACAATTCTGATCACGGCCCCTTAGCCACCCTGCCTTATGGGTTTTCTTGTTGTTATTATTATTATTATTATTGAATTGTTGGTGCCATATGATTGTATATTTCTGATTTCATAAGTAGAGTAGACAGTTGTATTTTCTATTCACGATAACCTAAACTTGTTGTTCAACTTAGTTTGACTTACGCCATGTTCCGTTTCGCTACCATTTTGCCGACGTTAGAAGTAAAAACAAGTTGTTGAATGTCAGTACTTAAAGATGGTCTATCTTTGATTCGATTAACCCTATTTTATGAGGTGATGTTATATGGCAATCCTTTTGTTTGCACATTTTGTTTAGTCAGTTCCACAATAACGGAGAGAACAAGCAGGTGTACCACTAAGATAATACACAAAATATGAACCACAATTTCTCACTTTGATGTTTGTTGACCATTCACAGCAGCTTGATGTCCAGTGAAAACACACCTGCCTGCTGACCTGACCGTCTGCTACAGTGGGGTGAATTCCATTAATCCAGGCGGTTGCATCGGTATCACACATGTCATAAGGTAGACACGAAGTTGGCATTTCTGTCCCAGCGGACCCCTCAAAACGGAACCATCCTGGTCCAAGTCCACTGTCACAGGACGGTATGGTTGTGATTTGGGTAAGTTATCTTTCTGTCAGCTGTATTGAGACTCACGTAATTCTGGCATTCTGTAGTCAAATGGAATATAATAGACCCCTTTACACTGAGTTGGGGCTTAGTACCCTAGCCTTCGAGTGAATGCGAGGCTAAGGGTGACCTTGTTTTCATATAAACCTCCTTTTAGTTTTCTTATGGAAATATGCTTGAAAATACTAGTTAGCATAAGGACAGCATGATTTGCATAAGAAAGCAGTAAGGGTTGTATCAAAACAAGGTCACCTGTAACTGTAAAATGGCCTATTGCAAACGCAACTACTTTTCCTAGTTTAATGTTTTGCCCCGTATTATTTATTAACAGAAACAAAAGTTGAATAGTTTCAAAGCTAGTCGAGCGGTTTCCTGGTCACTGTCCTGCTGTAAAGAGCTAAAACTTACCACAAAGCCGTTTGCAGGTCGTTCACTTCGCGGCCTTCTGACTGCAGATGCAAAATATTAGCTTGCGAAGTTCAGGCTTGCGCAGAAGGCAAAGTTTCAAGATACTTTTCTCCTTCTCTTCTCCCCCCTTTTTTCGCTTTTCTTACATCATGTTTTTTTCTCTTGCTAGGCATTTAGTAGGCTTCATTTTGGTGGGAAGAATAAGTTTTTAGGAAAGCTTTAAGATGAAAGGAAAGGTATGTGGGTAGTGGAACAAGATTTTCATGGAAATTTTCAAGTCAAGTTTTTTTTTTCGCCTTTTTCTCCGGTGTTCTTGACTGAATTGTGGTCATTCTGATATGGTTTGAAAGATTTCGTGTCTCTGCACAAGTCAGTGGACAAAGTTGTCCTTGACCATTAAAACTGATGACGTCACAAGCGGCACAGGCGGTTACGGACAACTCATCGGCCAATGGATTAAATACAATTAATTGTATATGCCTTGGACATTTAAGCTAGTAAGAAATTTCACATCTGCTAATATGAACGGACGGACGCACGTACGTACTTACGATTTTGTCAGAACCAATTAAGAATTTGTTCATGCTTAGCGTGCGTATATCGAGTTATGGATGCACGCGGGAAGTTTGGAGAGCACGAAAGATGCGTAAGAGTTGCACGAGGCGATAGCCGAGTGCAACTCTAGCTTCTTGAGTGCTCTCCAAACTCCCCAAGTGCATCCATAACTCGATATACGCACAGCTAAAAGCATGAGCAAATTCTTTTATAACATAGCTGACAAAAATGCTTGCTTTTTGATTAACTGCAAAATTCTCGTAACCCGCTACACAATAACAAACGGTTCTATTGGCTGATTACGAACACGCCACAATCGTCTAGTTTGAATGAAAATGTTCTTTCTGTAAAACTGAGAAAGAAAATGTGCTTCTTTTTTCGTTAACGATCAATGGAAACTAAGCAGAAACAAAGGTAAAAGAGTCTTAAAGTTCACCTAAAGTTAAAATACTAACATGTTCGTAAGAAGTCGTGGAGTATGGTTTGGATTTGCTGAAAAGATGTTTACGTTTTGCTCGGCGAAATCCAGAAAACATGTTTTTAGCGAAGACGACTGTCATCCTTCTTTAAACTTATATTCATTTACGTGCATTGGCTGGTCATTACGGCTTCTTGAGAACACCTAGCAGCAGTTGTTTTTGTGAGTAATAAATTTATCTCTTCTTGTGTAATTTGTGTTGTTATTGCGAGAGAAATTTTCCTGCTTCAGTCGGATTGTCCAGAGATAACAAAAGTGCGTAACAAATTTAAAAACAACAATAAAAAAGGAAATTTTACCCTTTTAAAAATGTTGTTGATGACCAGTTGGTGTCTGTTCTGTTCCCAGTGAATGTCTTTCGGCCAAAATTTGCTGCAGCTGGTCTTCCGAAACGCGTAACTTGCGAGTTTTTTTAAATTCGGCTTTATTTTTGCTACTTGTTGGATCAGGACATAAAAGGTCAATGCCGATACAAAAATTGGGCAATTATTCGCTGGTTTCTTCCATATTTTAAAGAGAAGGAAAGCTGCACTGCAGCTTAAAAGACGACAACTGCACTTTGCAGCCAGATAAAAAAAAAATGCTCACGTCATCTTATTTACGCACGGGCGTGCGTAAATAAAGATTTTGTTCATAGTGGCTCAATAGGACTTATATAGGGGCAAGCACGCGCGCTATGTTATAAAATTTCTTGGATGTATAGATAATCAATTTTTCTTACCCATGAAACTTCGCTGCGCGCGCTTAGCACGTGCGAGAGCTCCGCAAATATTTTAAAATCGTCTTGATGTGTGTACGTCATCATTGACGATATCATGGTAACCGAGTTTTAACAGCCATGTTTTAGGCCACAGTAAATTACCCTTAAGACATTTTCCACCTTATATAAATGCGCCCGACTTACTTAGACAAAACAGAAAATCACTCTTTGCATGGACTGTCGAGCTGTTTTAGCACAACAAGGCTTCTCGAACTGTACAACAATGATTACCTGCTGATAGAACATTGCAAGTTCTTCCATTTCAAGTGTAAGGATTGTTACATGAACAACTGAAGGACCCTGCTGTGTTTGTGCATGAAGCACGTGAACTGTGACAGTCATCAGTATCGCGGGCGCACTCGTCAATATCTAGAAAAGGAAGAATACAACTGAAATTAGGAACCTAAGTGTTCGTGTACGAAGACATATATTTTTTTTTCCTTTTTCTCCCCCCCCCCCCCCAAAAAAAAAAAAGCACCGTGTAACCCTTACCCTAATTGGGGTCCAAGTGAGACCCCACGTGATAATAACTCACATACGGTTTCGAATTTGTCGCTTAATGTACAAGAATCTTTCATTGTAACCGTCAGTTGTAGATTACAAGAAAATATACAGCTTGAGGCCCATTTTCTGGTTGGAGTCCAAATTGACCCCAGAAAAAAAAAACAAACAAAACAAAACAGAACAAAAACAGAGAAGTACTAACGAGAAGCTCTTGGTCGCTGAATCTGCGGTAAAATGGAACGTACCTGAGGAAAGTTGACCTTTTTACATTCTGTTCCGGTAGTCCAAGAGTCAAAGGAAGAGGTTCCTATTTCTGTTCCTTTGGGAGCAGATTGTAGGACAATCCAGTTTATCTCAGCAGTTGAATTTCAGGCGTTGCCGTACTCGTAGATACAAGTGCGGAATTGAGTTCTATCTGCCGATTCCACCCAAATAGCAGCACCATTACCACGGGCCCTGTTGTTAACTGAGTGACCAAAGAAAGCAAAGACTTTTACTGGCTTTCCACCAGAGAACGATTCAGCAAATGTGATTGTCTCACAAGCGAACAACTCTGGACTTTTGACAGTGACGTTGGTTTTTCCAGCTTTGAAACTGATTGCTATTATAAGGAGAATAAAATTGTCTTAGTAAAAGTAAGCTTCAGTTGCCTCTGGGCTATTTACGGTGGCTTCAATATTTTTTTTAAATAACTTCAAAACGCCTTAAGCGCAATGGCCTTGAGGTCCTACGGCATGCCATTCCATGACATTTGCCGGCCTTTACATTTCAAGTTCCCCACGCGCGTTTGCGACCGGAAGCCACAATGAGAAACCAATTTTGCCTAAAATGAAACAAAAACGTTTTGATACTAAAAACCATTGAAATTACGCATTCATCATATCTTCGTGGGCTAATATATGTATTTCGATAAGCCAAAAAAGAGCGAACTCAAGAAAAAAAATGCCCCATCTTCGCAGGACTTAGCATAGCTGAGAAAGGGCAGAAAATGCGATATTTCAAAACGGACAAACCCATAAAAATCGCGAGGTCGAAAGAGGTCGGAGCGTGGAACTAGTATCAAGCACCCTTTGTCCGCTGATATGAATAATTTATCAGAGCAAAACTTCGCCAAAATAAAGACAGTTTTCGATAATTGTAGGTCATCTAAATAAGCACTCACTTGCGAGTTAAAACAGCATGGTTTAACATAGCCCAAAACGAGAGCAATAATGCGTGAAATGACCAAGGAAACATTTTAAATTATCAATCAGACACCAAAGATTAACAGAGCGCATTAAAACTTACCTGGGATGAGCTCCATCTTGAAATTCAGCTCATTGAAAATCTCCCTCGAAACCTTCGAACGCTTTTTCAGCCGCGAAGAGAAGATATAAATTAGCCGCGAAGCATCATGGGATATATGAAATTCCCCCCTTTCAGTAAAAGTAAGCTCCCGTTGCCTCTTGGCTATTTACGGTGGCTGCAATATTTTTTTCATAATTTCAAAGCGCCTTGAGCGCAATGGCCCTGAACATTGTTCCGTAACTTTCGCTTTCCTTGCGCGCCCAACCCCCGATTCCTGCGTTCTTTCTTGAAATGAATCTTTCATGAATTTTACCGTAGAAAATGACCATCAAATATCAGCACTCAAAAGCATGTTCTTAAAACATTTCAATAAGCAAATACTTCAT